CTTGGATCTGCGAGTGTGGGCCAGTTAAGCGGGCGGGCGTTGGACTTGGGCCGCAAGTTGTACTTGGCGCGGTTGCTTTGTGGGTAGGGGCTTGAAGAGTTGTTGAAATAAGAGTGTTGCGCCTAAGGATCACAAGGCGTGAATGCAGCGTACTGGTGATGTTGCTTGTCTGGCGGAGGAAGGACGCGAGTTCAATTCCCGGCGGTGTCAATAATATTTTTGACGCGGAGAGTGGCGCGGGCTTGTTAGGCGGATCGGATGGATTTAAGCGGGCGGGCGTTGGATTTGGGCCGCAAGTTATACTTGGCGCGTTCAATTCCCGGCGGCGTCAATAATATTTTTGACGCGGAGAGTGGCGCAGGCTTGTTAGGCGGATCGGATGGATTTAAGCGGGCGGACGTTGGATTTGGGCCGCAAGTTGTACTTGGCGCGGGGACGGACTTGGATCTGCGAGTGCGGGCAAGGCCCGCGTGCACACTTCGAGAGATTGTGGGCCACGTGTGTGGTAATGGAGGCTGCTGAGAACGCGCGGATTGTGGGCCGATTGAAGTTGCACGGCGACCAGCCATAGGCGGATCAGATGGACTTAAGCGGGCGGTGGCCTGGGCCGCGCGAGTGTGGGCTGACAAGGTGAAAATGGGTCGCGAGATGGAGTTTGGCGGGGGCCTGGGTCGCGAGAGTGTGGGCTGGCATGGTGAGTAGCGGCTGGGCTCTCCTCTCTATCTCTTTTTTTTTTTGTATGTGACTTTGTGGGCGCAAATAATTCATGATTATTGCTACTTTGTGTTCCGTCGAACTGAGTGGGCGCGAATAGTTCATGACTATTGCTATTTTTTGTTCTTTCGAACTGAATGGGCGCGAATAGTGCTGGACTATTGCTATTTTTTGTTCTTCACGAATTGAATGGGCGCGAATAGTGCGGAACTATTGCTATTTTTGTTCTTTATGAACTGAATGGGCGCGAATAGTGCTGGACTATTGCTATTTTTTGTTCTTTCGAACTGAGTGGGCGCGAATAGTGCTAGACTATTGCTAATTTTTTGTTCTTGCGAACTGAGAGGGTGCGAATATTAAAATTCAGACGCCGCACCATTGAAAAACAAGGCTCACTTGTAGCCTGCTGGTAACGATGCTTGTCTTGTGGAAGAGTGGCGCAGGTTCAAAGGCTGGCGGCGACAATAATTTTTTGAAGAGTTCCGTGTCTATGGAATGCGGGCCGCGAGTTGGGCCTCTGTGGGGCGGCGGGACTAGTGGCTTGATGTTGGGCCGCGAGTTGATGGTGGAGAGAGCGGTGCGCGTCGGTATGATATGGGCCGCAACGGGCGAGCTCGGGACTTGACTTTGCGGGCGGGCTTGTGAAGACTGAATGGTGGCGGATGACGTGAAGCGGGCTGGACGTGGAGGAAGGTGGGCCCAGTGTAACTGCCTGGGCGAATGGGCCGCAAGTTGCTAGCTGAAAAACCGCGGGACGAAAGATAGTGACCTGGGCGCAGCCTAATGGCATTGGGCGGAGCTGTCAACTCTGGAAGCGTTTGCAGGCCGCCAGTTTGGAGTTGGAGCGGAGCTTTTGGAGTTGGAGCGGAGTTTAAGTGTTGACGTGGATGGAGTGATAGCTGGCGGTGGCTTCAAAGGCGGCTTTCAACTTGACGCGAAGCTTAAGTGGGCCGAAACGGGCTGCAACCGGACTGGGAGGCGGGCATTTCGTGAACCATCAGAGACATCGACAGCTAGCTTTGACTTTCCTCCCTTTTCTCATATTCTTTATCTTGAGCAAATTATCTCTGGGAATTGATGGAATAATAACGAAACATATCGGTGCCACTGCCAAATATCTTGAGAAGCAACAGGAGGGTTGCATCGACAAGCTTGGGAGGTAGGTTGAGAAGTCTTGGTACCGGCGGCCGAGAAGGGGGATAAGCGCGGCCGCTAAAGAGTGCAACGGCAGGATGCATGAGGAGATTTGGTGAGAATTGAGATAGAGGCACATTGTTTCCCGGTGTGTCGCGGCTAGCAATTAGTAAAGAGGAAGGCGCTTGAAGCTGTAGTGCGTTGACGCAGATCGAGGGAGGTACAAGAGAGCAGAACGGGCGAAGAAGCTAGAACGGGGATCGGAACCACCGGTAAATATGGCTTGTGGGAGACAGAGAGACGCGTCTTGTTGAGCAGCTGTTAATGAGCCGGGTCTTCTCACGCTGGCTGTTAATGAGAGCCGAGCAAGGCTCTTTTTCTTGTGGCGTCCGCCGCCGCTCAATCGGAAGTACGATGGAAGTGAGGCGGATTGCGCTATGCCGGATCCGATAATTTTGTGGGATTTGGTGTAGGTTGCTGGAAATTGTTGTCGGAGGAACGGCGACAATGGAAGTTGCCACTGAATGACCGCTGCCGCCTCTTAAGGAGGGAGACGAGGAGCAGAATTGGAAGCGCGATGCCCCGGTCAATGAGGGCGGGGTTAGGCGAACAAAGGCGATTACGCCGAGGAAAGATATGGATAAGACGACCGCGCAGCGGTAATTGATGTCATTGATTGGCGCCGCCGGTAAGAGCAGATGCAGGTGCGGAGAAAATAGACAGCGCGGGGAGGCCGTGATCGCGCCGTTCTTTAGAAAGAAGCTCCGCCAAGGAGACACGAAGGGCGCGCTTTCATCTTTGCCGCTTTGCTGGGTTTCCAGCCTGTCGTCGAAAGGTTTGTCTCGAAAACTCCGCCCTGCTGACCGGGGACATCGTCCGACCTCTTAAGTTTGACAGGGAGATGCTGTTGAAAGACAGCTGTCAAATCTGATTTTTGGGAGTATTGAAAAAGGGTGATGGGACAAGAGCTTGACGATGGTGACTGGTGAGAGCCGAGTTCTCTCTCTCCTCCGAGCTCCGGTACCGCTAACCCTCCGACTAGCAGAGTGGCCGGAATCTGGACAGGATTTCTGCTTTCAGCTCTTCGTTGTCTTCTCTTCACCCTGCCGATTCATTATTTCCTTTCCTTCTTTCACCCTTATTTTTCGGCATGTGTTCATCAGGCCATTGGATTGAACTTTGGGCTTTTATGTTGAGCGCCATTGTTGGGTTCCTACTAATTTTCTTCGACGTCGGCGGTGGTTTCCTCTTCTCTTTGTTGAGGTTGCCCAGAAATCAGACAAACGTATACATGAATCAGCCCCACGGTGGGCGTCAATTGTTTGTGCCATCTAGCTCGAGGCAGGAACAATAATGATTGTTGGTTTGGGTTGACTCGTCATCCATTCGTCCGATCTCGTCGGGAGAGAGAGAACCTGTGAAAGAGCCGGGGTTGCCCCCCGAATTAAGCTCCGACGATCAAGTCAGTGTATGTTTTGTGGAGAGAGTTGAGAGAATAGATAGAGAGATAAAGTGTAGAGAGATAGTAGAAAGTGGAAAGTGAGGAGAGAGAAGAAGCCCCCTTCCTTGGTGGGTTTCATACCTTTATATACTCGTAGCGTGTTTAGAGCGTCATCCGTTGTCGATTGGACGCGGTATTACTTAGTCTCTGCGGAGAGTCTCTTAGCAACACCCCCAACAGAGAGATTAAGCAAAAACATTTACAAAGGAACTCACACAAACTCACTTGTAATTGATTGAATGAAAACTTGAATGAAAAATACATTGGTTGGACTCCTATTTATAGACCTACGAATCTAACACAAAACAACTAAGGAATACCACATCCTACTTGAAAAAGGAAATAAAAACCTTAACAAATAAGTAAACAAAGTCCTACAATGAAAAGGAAACAAATTTGACTTTTTCAAACCTTAATTCTAACCTTGAAATCCTCCCTCACATGTCTTGTGTTCACACTTAATATTCCTTTCACACCTTGTGTTCACACCATGGGGAAACTCCTTCATTCTGGGCCGAATTTTCTTCTCCTTCTTCCAAGCCAATATTCTCACGATTTGGATCCATGAATTGAAGCAATATGATGGGCTTTCCTTTATGCAAATCCATAGAGGTGGCAATTGGATCAGATTCGTGGATTGGATTGGTGGATTCATGGATTGGATCAAATGGATTGCTGGATTGATCCATGAATCCAAATGACATCCAAGGCTTGGACCAAAATGTAAATTTTGAAAAGTTTAGGTACTAAAATGTCATAAAGAAAAAATTTAGGTACCAAAATGTAATTTTCCAATGATATTTTTCGTATAAAAATTTAATTTTTAGGTACCAAAATGTAAAATATATAAAATATAGGTACCAAATCATAATTTGCCATTTGGATCTATGGATTGATCCATGAATCCACCAATCCAATTGGACTTGGATCAAATGGATTGGATTTAAGTGGATTGGATTAGGTGGATAATTTGGTGGATGGATTGGATGGATTCATGGATTTGGATCCTAATTGCCACCTCTACAAATCCATCTCCATCAAGAACGATCCCATTTGATCCTCATTCGTTGTACTCGGACCTTCATTTTTTGACCACGAGAACTATATATGTTGGCATTCAATTTCAAATGAACAAACTCGTAGGTCTTGCTTGTAGAGCCCTTCTCTTCCACCTTTAAAGCTCCCAAGATCTCTTTAAACCTCTTAAATCTTCTTTTGACCCATGGTCTATGTAGAGATCTAATTTGAGCTCGAGTGAAGTCAAGTGAGGTGAGCGGGGTCGCATCATTCCCTCCCTCTTGAAAAAGATTTGCCCTCAAATCTTGCTGCCACATATAAAGGCTCTTCCATGACTTCATTATTTCCCATCTTGAATATGCACCTTGAATGACAACCTTATCCACATACTCTTGAAGTCTTCGTCTCTCTCCAATATGAGCCTCCTTATAAGTCACTTCATCTCCAATAACAAACTCCACGTATCATATAAGCTCGTCTCTGACACGATCTATCTCTCAGTATCGTATCTGGACAGATACTTATCTTCGGAATGTGTGGGGAGAAACAAACTCCAACTTCTGGGCGTTTCTTGCATGCTTATTGCCTCGTAATCCTTTTCGATTATTGTCCTGCTAAGTTTGATTTGATGCAGCGAATGAACCCCAATTCTGAAGTGCCTCTTTTCCGATTCAGGAAATATGAAGACCTAAATCCTCCACGTGTCGAGGATTTTTGCTACATAACTGATAATACTTACACCAAAAAGGAGGTTAGTTGGGTTTTCCCTAAGCACGCCACGCACACAAGGTTGGTTTTACTTCATTCATGTATGTGGTTCCGCGTAGTTACCTTGATGCGGGGCTGGGAGTGCAGGTACTAGATATGGAGACAGATGTACTCAAATGCTTGAAGTTTGATACAAGGTCTCCCACAGCCAAAAGCTTCCTCAGGTAGGTTGTTGCGTCTTTTGTCCTAAAAATAAAAATCTGGGGCCAGATCGATGAGAATCTCTGTTGATTGTAAATTTGTAATCAGTCTGTGTAACGTTTACATTTTGCAGAATCATGACAAGAGCTGCTCAGGATAAGGATAGTTCTAATGTAGCAATCCTTTACTCTGCAATCCATTTAACCTAGAAAGAAAATTCCATAAATCTTCACCAAGCCGGCCCGGCTATCGTTGTGTCTACTCACTCCTTCTCAGGATGGAGATCTTCGGCTCGATTTCTTGAGTAGTTACCTTTGAGAGCTAAGCTTGTTGGAATACGCGTGTGTGCGATTCTTGCCATCAGTGGTCGCTGCTTCGGCTGTTTTCTTGTCAAGATTCATGATCCATCAAGAACAGCATCCTTGGGTGAGAACTAACAAGTCACAGATGAGCTTCAGAATCCCAACACAGCAGTTTAAGTTTGTTTCTAACTGCTTGTACGTGTCCATTCTCTTTTCTACAGAGTTCATCATTGCATCTTAATTCTGGTTATGATCCAACTGATCTAAAGGACTGTGTTTTCGCCATTCATGGTTTTGTTGTAAACAAAAAAGGAAGCTGCTTACGGGGTGTTAAAGACAAGTTTACGCAGCACAAGGTTAGGCCCTTTTTTGTTCCCTCTTTTGCAATTTCTCCTGTTTGGGATTACCATATTTTCCACAGGTTGAATCACGAGATTTACTGTCTTGCTTTGTGACGGCGCAGTTTAAGCACGTAGCAACATTAGTCCCTCCCCCAGAAATCCCGTTGGAGCTATTCTAAAGGCTGATGATGAGTATTATCTATCAAACCTGCGCATTCTCCATACTTCATACCTTCCCCGAAGCTTTGTATTTTCACATCCTCAGGAGTTTTGAAGTTGGCCTTCTCTCTACATAGCTTTTAAGCCATAGCCACTGATATTATTAGCTGCTGCTGTGCCAAGTTCCTCTTTGGCTTTCAAGTTTCTGATTACCATAGACTTACTTTCTAGTTCTTGTTTTAATTTTTATATTTTGAGTCGGATCAAGCAGGGAAACAGAAACTTTTGTTTGGACGGTGCTTTAGGTCCCAAAATGTAGGATATAGTTATGATAGGACTCCTATCATAGGATTAGTAGAAACGACCTGTTCTACTCGATAGATAAGAATTGGTATTCTTTTATCTTGTATATGATGAATTGGGTTGTGGAGATTTATCTGTTCTAGATCAAACATAAGCTCTCGCACCACATGCTATTACGGTTATTTTGTTGTTGCTCTCTGCTCTCAAATAGGGGACTGAAACTTGGCAGTGAAGATATTTTGGGTGTTTCTGATCCCCGCCTGCCTCATAAAAAAGTTGGACTCATTACAACGGTTCTTGTGCTCAATAACCATGAAAAAGAGATCAATTCCATGGAGAACAAGACAAGTTCTCACTGACTCTAAAGTTGAAGGAGGACTTGATTTTCGAAAATTTCTGATGTTTAATTTATCCATTCTTGCCAAACGGGTGGAGACTCCTCATTGATCCTAATGCGCTGTGGGCAAGAGTTCTCCGTGGACTCTATTTTCCGTATGGATGTTTGACTCACTCCAACTACCACAATAAAAGTTCGACTATAGTCCAAGTATAAACTTTAGTAGGGTGGAGTATAAGGCAAGTGTTTTAAAATTTCAACCCGGGTCAGTTCATTTACTCCTACTTCAACTGTTTAAAACGTTATCTAGAAATCGATTTTTAGTGAAAACTAAGGACTACAATTTATCTAGCAATCGATTTTTAGTTTTCTTGATGGAGACTCACCTATATGACGGAGAGTGAGAAGAAAAACAGAGAGAATTTAGATATGAAGGAGGAAAGGGGGTGGCGGCAGGGGCCAGGGAGAAATAGATCAGGTGGCCTTCTGATGACGTGGAAACATGGAGTGGAACTGAAACTAAAATGAAGCTCCAATAATTATATGGATTTCGAGATATGCATTGAGAATCAGTGAGAAACCTAGAGATTAACTAGGGTATAAGGATGGCCACAAGGAAAAAAATAAACATAAAACCTGTGAGCTGCTGAGATGGTTGCATAATCAAGTGGAAAAATCGTAGGTGGTGATGGAGGATTTCAACTTGATTACAGACTACATTGAGAAGAGCGGCAGTTGTAGTCCTAATGTAAGGGAGATGGAGGATTTCAGAAAAACCCTAGAGAATTGTGAGCTGGAAGATCTGGGGTTTTATGGGAGTTACTTCACATGGGACAATAATAGAGAGGAGGAAGCCTATACTGAGGAAAGGCGGCATAGGGCAGTTGGCAACAAGGGGTGGATGGATCAATACACACTAGCAAGGGTGTACCATCTCCCAAGATGTGGATCAAACCATATTCCAATCATGCTTCAGTTGAATCCGGAAGAGGAGGCGGCGGGCTCCTTCTATTTCTTCTCGCTCGCAGCGCTGCTGATTTCTCTGGGGTTTGTGAAAATTAGGACGGCGACTAGGAAATAGGGTTTCGCTAGAGGGGGGGGGGATAATTAGGGTCGGGGGTTTTGTGATGGGGGAAATAATTGAGATGGGGTCGAGAGTTTGTGGAGAGGGCTCGACCCTCTCCCATTTTTTTTAAATGTAATAATAATAAGGACTTTGCTACGGTGACATGACATCAGGTCGACCTAATCTGTTGTTTCAGTGTAAAACAGTTTCATGGTGCCTACTTTGGAGATTCATATCTTACAATTGGTTAGATGAAAATTGGAGATTAAAGGCTTGTTTTGAAGCTGAAGTGTCCCTCTACACATTAAAGTACTTGGGAGCTCAATAGAAAGTCCAGAAGACCATTTTTGAACCTGACCAAAAGGCTATTGCAAAACTGGGAAACTCCCTGAAAATGGCTAAGTCTGGCAACGTGTTTGTCAAGCCTACTTTGGAGCTCAATTTGAGAAGCATGGATGCGAGTCAAGTCCACATGCCTCTACCACATTAAATTACGTATTTCTGTATACAAAGGCAAGGCATTGGGTGAAAGATTGAATATCTTTAAGGCTTCAAACAAAAGGCTCGAAGTTGCTACGAAGGCTGTTTTCTGGTAGCTTGCTTGTGCTCGAAGTCTACCAGAAAAACAACCTTTGTAGCAACTTCGACCCTTTTGTTTGAAGCCTTACATATATTCAATCTTTCATCCAATGCCTTGAATTTTTATAAAAACATACCTAATTTAACGTGGTAGAGGCTCTTGGACTCGACTCGCATTCATGCTTCTCGATTTGAGCTCCAAAATAGGCTTCACAAACACGTTTCCAGACTTAGCCATTTCCAGGTAGTTTCCCAGTTTTGGCATAGCCTTTTGATGAGGTTCAAAAATGGTATTCTGGACTTCCTATAGAGCTCTCAATCACTTCAATATATAGAGGGACACTCCAGCTTCAAAATAAGTCATTAGTCTTCAATTTCCATCTAGCCAATTGTATGATATGAATATCCAAAGTAGACACCATGAATTGTTTTTACACTGAAACAACAGATTAGGTCGACCTGATCCTATATGAGGTCGACCGAATCCTAAATGAGGTCGACCAGATCCTATATGAGGTCGACCGAATTCTAAATGAGGTCGACCTAATCCTAACTGAGGTCGACCGGAAAGTGCAAGTCACCGTGACATGCATGTCACCGTAGGCACACCCTAATAATAATTATAATCATAATAATAATTATTATTATTCTTAATCTGCGGTTGCAAATTTTAGTACGTACCCATCAACCCAACCGTTCACGTATTAAAGTCGAACCTAAATTCAAATATCGGGATGTTACATATACATTCTGTCTTATATGGGACATATATTTATGACATCTTGCCTTTCCTACGTTCATAAGCGGAAGAGCCTATTCACTTTGACAAACTACCTAAACTTTCATCTCGACCTCACCAACCTAACCATTAAGCTTTAAAAATATAAGGAAATGCTCAATGATAATAAAAGTTGTACAATCATGTCAGTTGAAATAAAAAGGGATGGCTTCTTTTGATACGGTTACTAAACGATTATTTTGGTCTAACATTACAGAATCACTTGCTAAACGGTCAGTCGAATAACCGACATAATTACTGGTAACTGATTATACGATTACGATTAATCGACTAATACAAACGGTGAGAGTTGGAAAAAATGTTTAACGGTTAAAACCGAACCGTCCAAAAAGTTCGATTAGATGAATCAATTGAAAAACGAGACATTTTGATTAATTGGGTCATTTTACAAAATGATTCATTTGAGTCAATTCGATGTATTTGCCCCTACCCTAGACAATTCTAATTGTTTCAAAATGAGCCAAATTAAAATTTCTCAGGCCAAATTGTTCCGTCAAATTAACCAATTGACCAAATTGTATAAAAACGAAACAATTTGATCAAATTCCTCATCTAAACTACCCCTAATCCTTTTTCTCCCAAAACTATCCTCTCCTAAACCCTTGTGAAAGAAGCAGCAATGAGACTGTCCGTGGTCGGCGGCGAGAGTATGGGTGTTCTGGGCATCCTGATAATTTAGGGTGTATAGATTTTGAAAGAAAAAAAGCCAAATAACAATTAGGCGGGTTCAGGGGGAGGATTTTGCTGTGCTGCCGATTTGAGTGAGACCAATGTGGAGGCGAACTATTTCCGTGAGTTCTCTCCTCCCGCGATTTTTTGTTTCTTATGTCGGAAACGGCCTTAGTAGTCATTGAAGATTCCTTCCTCTCCGGTTGTTTGATTGCTGCAGGAGAGTGCCGATTCTGATCAGTCCATTTCAGGTAAAGTTAGTTGCTAAGTATTCAGGGCGTGGCCGAGCCGAGCAGTTTCAGTACAGAATATGCGGTTCCCTTTCCCCCTCCTACTAGGGCTTTGTTCACAAGATTGACTTCCTTTCTAAATTGACAGATGAAGAAGATTTCAATGTTAGCCATCGTTTTCATTCTTCAGCAAATTCAGATAAAAAGGTTACTTCCCCCCCCAAAGTAAGTCGACTGTCAATACTTTTGATGCAATATATTTGGTTGAATGCTATGTTTCACCTGCTTCAAATCAATGTGAAGACAAGACAGTAAATTAGTAGCTTGCCGGCTTAGCGTTTCCTTGCGCCCATTTTCCCCCCGGCAAGTTCAGCCTTGCTTTGCTTCTCCTAGTTTGAACTCTTCATCTGTTCTGTAGATGGATTCGTCCAGGATGCAGATTTGTCGATTTTGGTTGAGTTGCGTTGCTCTTTGATGTATAACTTTTCGATTTGGTTATGTAACTACTCGTATTCTGACAGGAAGGTTTACTACTTCAATCACGGCTGGAGATCCTGAAAGGTATCCTGTTGGAACACCATTGTGCGACTTAGTGCTTCGATTATTATTCGCCGGTAAGACTCTCTTATCATCGTTCTTCTATTTGCAGCCAAAGAAGAGCAGAGGTGGGCGGAAAACAGCAATTTTTTAAACAAGGCAAGTACTATTGAACTTCTGCAATACTTCTCTGTTGTTTTTTTCTATAGTTAGTACTAGTCTATGCGGAAGAATGTGCGATAACATTACTGTATTGAGTGTCAGAGCCATGTCTTGGTGCAAGATGAGGTAGAACCACCAGATTTCCCTGATGATAACATATCTACGAGGGCAGAGTACATTCAGAGCGTCCATAAAGATGTAAGTCATGTATGGTAACTGATGTATCAAAGCTTCTAATTAGAGCATTTTTGCTGGAAGTTGAGTTCCTACTTACTGTAGTTTACTAATGGGATATGGGGAATCCTTTTTGCAACAATTCTAACAGAAGAAATATACAGCTGCCTCTGCTGCTGGGCAGTTATGTCAAGAAGCTAATGTCCATAGTTTAGCTGGGGCAGTTAGACATGGAGGGTTGTCCATGGTGAGTAAATATGTCAATGCACTAATCCATCTGAATGAAAACTCTTCCCGTAGTTTATTTCACCTATGTAATATTGTAATTCTTTTTGCAACCATTTTAACAGAAGAAATGTATTCTATCAAGAGATAAGGCTGCCTTTGCTGCTGGCCAGTCACGGCAGGAAGCTAATGTCCCTTGTTTAGCTGGGGCAGTGAAACACGAGGGGTGGTCCATGGCCAGTAAAGAAGCCAATGCACTGATCCATCTGAATAAAGCCTCTTGTTCCAGCCTCAGACAAACCAGCAAATCGTCTAAAGGTATGCTTTTGATATGGGATATGTGCACATTCATGTTTGTTACCATGTATATGTATGCCGCCAGAATGCTAAGCTTTAAATTTCTGGTGTAATTTGTGCATGTCATATTATGTATATTCTAGCAGCTCCAAGGATGACTTATACTGATTGACATTTGCAAACCCAGTTTCTAATTTATCTTATGTGCCTTCTCTTATTTGTCTTGCCAAAAAAACGCCAATAGATGGTCGAACAAGAAAACAACCATTTGATAATCATAGGTGAACAGATCTCATTGATTCTTTTTTGTTTTCATTTGAGAAGATGTACAGACCCGATCACGTATCAAAGATATGATGCATGTATCATTTTGCTTTTTTATGGCTGTTTGGTTACTTGTATGTTGTGGTGTACTCGACATCCTAATTCCTATGCCTGGTCTTGTAAGGTTGTTAGTTGCCTGAAACTATTTTGTCATTGCAACAGTTATACTTCCATTCTTTAACTATATATAAATTTTTGCATACAGGGTTTAAACGCAGAACCAAGCCGAGGTTTTCTTTCCGGTTTCAGCCATCTATTTCTAGGAAAGAAAATGATAGGGTGTCCAAGTTTCATGGAACTTCTGATCCACCAGAGGCAATTCAGCACATAAATGCTGAGAATTCCATGCAGTGGGTTGTTTGTGATTCTGAAGAAGAAAATGAAAGTTGGCGAGAGATTTCACATACTAAAGTAGAACCAGTTGGCAATCGTGTTATGGAGCATTCACTGGCTGAACTTCTTGATGGCATTCAGAATAAGAAAATTTTGTCAAAGCGAAATTCTTGCATGGTATATTGTCTTAAATTAGTGGTTTTTTATTGAGATTGTCTTCTCTTTTTAATATTGTATCTCTGTAGGATGTGCACAAAAAAAGAAAAAGGTTACAGCTGGCTGTGAAGAGAAGTGTATCCTCTTCGAGAGATAGAATAGACAGCAATCATGAATCTGATCAACTGTCTCTTGGATCTTCAAGTGACGAGGAGGTGATGATTTCCTCTTGCCGCTTTCTCATTGTTTAATCTGGTTAAATTGCTCAACTGTGATGCCACAGGTGGCTCATCGAGATAGAGAACTGTTTAACCCTGTGAAGAAGGAAACTATTATGGATCGATTTGAAGAGGCTTTAGCTACTGCCACTTTCAGTAATGAAGGGTCTCTATTCCTTGGATCAAAGCAGTCAAGGTGGATATAACTCAATTTTGTGCTACAATAGTGTTTGATTTCTTATTTCAATGAAATGGAATCCAGTAGCTCCGATCCAATGTAATGTGATTGCTTGAAAATCTGCAGTTATTGCTTGTTTGGGAAGTTGCAGCTGCTCATACAGAGTGAAAAGGGAAGAGATGCCAGCTTTATGAAGAAGCTACAGATGGGATCTATACCAAATGGTATGATAAGCTTGTTTAAAGGGGATTCTTTTCTCTGGTGGAAATTTTTCAAATGGGATTAGTGTCCTGCCTTCTGATCTGGAGACACAATGAAATTTATTCCTATAGCGATGGCTATAATTGCCCTGTTCTACCTTGTCAAATGCCAGATGTATCCCATTCCATGACAGTGAAAATCCTCTCAAGATACATGGAGGCGAAGTTGACAATCTGTGTTTGCTCATTTGCAAAGGACATGAAGGTCATCTCAAAACTCCGAACAGCTTCTCTTGATTATTTCTCTGAGAAACCTACTGAGAAAAACCTCTTTATCCTGAAAGTTTCTGCCAGAGATCTCCGTTTTCTTCTTAATCGTTGAGGCTTTATAATTGGAGATTTATTTTTGTAGGATGAAGGCGAAGTCATTATATTGAGTTGCATATAAATAAGACAGAACCTAAAAGTGCTTTGGTTACAGGATGCCTCACAGCCAGGTAACTCCATAGCATATGCAGGTGGAGGAATGAAGAAGACAGTGGTTTTCAATTCAAGAGTTTGTGGCCACGTTGACCTTGAAGTTGGCAACTGGATTCGCATTCACTCCCCATGGTGAGTCCATGTTCTACTTTTCATGACTATTCCTCCGAATTGTGAATCCAATTAGGAGAAATCTATGGTGATTTGCGGCGTAAAGCCTGGCTTTGCAGAGCTAAAGTCCACCAAATTGATTGGTTGCTTATTTTGTTATCCCCGACGAGCTATGGACCGAACTCTGTGTTCTAGTGTTTAGACATTCTAGTTTAACACGGTTGGTGGTTGTTCCCCCGTGATGACAGGAAGGAGATTCAAGTTATGGGCGCTGATGAAAGCATCATTCTATCCTCGTATTTCCACCAGGATTTTGGCTTGATCAGTTCGTGATTTTCTTGAAGGTGGACAAATTTTCCAGTTATGCCTTGTTTCATTCAAATTTACTGGTGATAGGTCCGCCCCTGTGTCATCTAATTTCGATTACACTTGAACCAAAAGGATTAGTGAGTTTTAGATTGTGGATATTGCTGCCAGTTCGTAAATGTAAAGGTGGTGCTGACGGATTCGAAAGGGTTAGTGAGTTTGAAGGGTCTGTATACCCGTAATACATAATGCATGTTAGATTGTTTATGGTGAAATTCAAAAGGTTACTGCATTTCAGGGTTTGCATGTGGTCCGCAACTAATCCAATTTTATAGAGTTTTATGGGTTTTTTTCGTAAATGAGTTTTAAAGGTTTGATAATTGCAGTCACAGAGCAAGTTAATTGATATATGCGTTCCAGATAAATGCAGAGTAAGTTAATGGTGTATTGTGCAACTTTTTAACAGAAGTCTATATATATTAGGCTTAACTTTGCATGTTATGACAATAATAGTCAATTTTTTAAAAAATACACAGATATAGTTGAAAATACTAGTTTGTCAAATTTAGCCATTTATGTTAAAAACTTTGAGTGTCAATGACTTTGTCAATAACTTTGATGTTATGTTGACGTTGATGCCACCTTAGGTCACACGTCAACTCCAACTAAACACTCCGTGCCACATGGCCGCCACGTTATATTAAAAAATTAGAAAAATATAATAATTTTTTTATTATTATCTGCTCGCTTGCTCGCACACATCAACCATTGACCTTCTACGCTGTAAGAAACCCACTTCTTAGGGCTTCTAGAGACTGATCTTCGGCACCCGCAATTGCTCGTAACAATTAGGAATTTAGGGTTAAGAGAAAGAATTAGTGATTTAGATGAGAAAGAATAGAATAGATAAGAATCGACCGAGGCCTTGGATTAGGAGAGAATATAAATTAGGAATTGAGACGAGAAACTAGGGTTTAGGAGATTCTTCTTAATATTCTTCTTGATTGATTATGACGTAAACTCAAAGTACATATTTACAGGAAATAAACCCAAAACCTAATAATTAACCCTAGACTATTCGGCTATACCTAGCCGCCTAACTCCACCCAACTAATACTAGTAATAATAATGAAACACTAAGAAACTTGTTTCTTACAATCCACCTTCCTTGAAAGCGACCTTGTCCTCAAGGATGCAGTCAACTTTCATCTCCTTGACCTTCCGCTTTCTTCGTTTCCAGTCGCGCTCCAGCTTATAAAGGAAGTCATCTTCAACAATTTTCACTACCCTCGACTTTTCTCGAACCACGTGACACATGTCACGTTCTCTGTAACCGAACAATTCTTCTTCTTCCTTTTCGAAATCCACAGAATAAGAGTCAAGGAAATGTCCTCCTTACTTCTCTTCACTTACCAACTTGAAATATTCAAGGAATAGCTCCATAATTTCATCCATGGACTTGGTGAAAATAAGCTCTTTTGGGCTGCATTCTTCTCCAAAGTGGTTTGGATTAAGTTTACTTGAAAGCCCAATAGCTAATCCTGGAAGCCCATTTCTTTTCCTTCATGCTTGGTTCCTGCAAAATAAACCCAACAGGAGAGCCCATTGGTGGCCCAAGTCATCTTTGAAAACTCGGCCCACCTTCTATTTTCAAGAGGCATGGGACGAATTGGGCTTCTCCCTCAGCTAGACCACTCGTCAGCTCACTTTCTCCATGCATATGCGGCCCAAAAGTCCATTCCTCCTCAGATACTGCTAGCACTAGCTTCTGCTCCCATTCTTCAGCACATGGGTCCGTTCTGCTTAGCCCATTAGCATAGGAGATCTGCACAACTTGGCCAAAACGAGAGAGTTGATGTTGTTGGGCTCCGCAGACCCAGCTTCTCGGCCCAACCAACCCGGAGATCTGTTTGGAGGCGCGACCTAGGTTTGCAGAAGGAGGGAAATCGCCGCTACCGCCCTCCATCTTCCTCATCTCGTCCGTCGGTGGCGCGCAATCCTGCCGGCGGCACAGAGGCCCGTCGGCCCCCTTCCACTCCGTCTCGTCTTCTGGCAGAGGCTTCTTCTCCGACTCGACCTCCGGCTTCGAGTTGTCCTTCGCCGGTGCTTCGGTAACTGCGACCTCTTCCTTCTTCTTTGGCGACTTCCTCAACGATTGACTGTCACCACGACGGCCTCACTCTGCTTTGTGGCGTAGGTCGCCACACTCCTTCTCCGCGCTCTTTTCCTCGGCGAACAGTCCACCGTCGCTAGACCCGTTGCTTCTCTCTTCTTCGTCGAAGACAATGCCGGGGTGCCGAGGTCCGACTCGGGTTCGCTCTTCCTGACCGTCGCTTCCGCGAAGAGCGCCACCGAGCGCCGAGATCCTCTCGGGATTCTCCACTACGGTGAATCCTCCCACTGGCTCGTCTTCTATGCTTTGCCTAGGGAGTCTTTGCCGCCGGCGAGTTCAGCAATCGGCGTGCCCAAGCTTCTCGCTGACTAGTTCTCGGTCGTTATGGCGAATGGCGAGGACTCAGCGACGCTAGCCTTCGCTGGTTCTTCTTTCTCGGTTAGTGGTTTGGCGCTCGATCGAACAACCGGACCTGTCTGCTGTAGCGCTGACTTCTCCGCTTCGTTGCCTTCCGTACTGGCCGACTCTTTCCAATCTCCCAACTCATCGAACTCAAGGTCATCTCTGAACCTTGCATTCTTATTTCTGTATTTCCACCCATCAGTTGCGAGGTTCCATCGCTCTAGTGTGGACCTTTGCTCCGCATCTCCTGCTTGGAAGTCTTCTACAGAGGCGGCTGCTCTTTCATTGTCAAGAACAAAGGTAGCAGCAACAAGGTCACCTTCTTCTTCCGTCACCGTATCGACCGCAACCTCGGCAACCTTGTTCTCCTCCTTGAGCCAGCCTTCTCCATCTTCCATTGCGGCGGTAGTCACGACCGCATTGGCAATTCCCAACAACAGTGATGGCGCTTCTTTCATCGGTTCGACGCAGCTTGGCGCCTCTTCGGTGGCCGCTTCCACCAGCTCTTCCATTGTGGCCACCGACAGGTGCGGCCTGGGTCCATCCGCTGCTTCAAACTCGATTGGGAACACAGGTTTTTCCAACCAATCTTCGTAATCTAGTTATGCAGTTGCGACATTCGACAATTTCATCGACAATTGCGGTGGGTCTTCCTTCACCCGCTCCATCGTCGCGGCCACTGCGATTTTGGTTAGAGCAGCCCGCGCTGTTCTCGGACAGCGGCAAGGACGATGTAACCTCATTCTTCCTTACCCCTTCCAGTTTCGACTTCAAAAGCTTTGTGAGTTCTTTGACTGAGATCTCGAAGCTTGCCATAGCTTTGGTACGGATGCCTGCAACCAGGCTCTGGTACCAATTGTAAGAAACCCACTTCTTAGGGCTTTTAGGGACTGATCTTCGGCACCCGCAATTGCTCGTAACAATTAGGGATTCAGGGTTGAGAGAGAATTAGGGATTTAGATGAGAAAAAACATAATAGATAAGAATCGGCCGAGGCCTTGGATTAGGAGAGAATATAAATTAGGAGTTGAGAGGAGAAATTAGGGTTTAGGAGATTCTTCTTAATATTTATCTTGATTTATTATGACGTAAACTCAAATTACATATTTATGGGAAATAAACCCAAAACCTAATAATTAACCCTAGACTATTGAGCTATACCTAGTCGCCTAACTCCACCCAACTAATACTAATAATAATAATAATAATAATAAGACACTAAGAAACGTGTTTATTACATACACCCAGCTTCACTCGCAATCGCCGACCTTTTCTTAGCTCACTTGTCCGTTTGCTCCCTTCGGCGATGGCTCTTACATCCATCTCACCCTTTCCCTCTCACCGGCCAAATAAGTAATCGTTTCCTCCAACCTTCCTCTCTCAGTTATCTTCCTCCACAATCGTTCGAGTTCTTCAATAATCAATTTCCATTGCTCCGATCGTCTTCCTCGACGAGAAACATCCTTCAATCAGTTTTATATCTTACAATTGCCTCTTCTTAACTAAAAATCGTTCGAATCTCTTGACGTTTCACTTCTCGATTTGGAATTTGTATCGTTTGATTTTCCTCCGAAACCCTAAGTCTTCCTCATGGAGACTATCGATGAGAGATGGCTCTCAATCTGTTTATTGTACTTGATATGACCCTAATTCGAAAAAAACCCTCGAACTCGGATGATATGACCAAAGTACACAACCTTCCTTCTTTTTAAGGATTTTCGAAGCTTTTGTACAACTTGAAATAAAAGATAGATGCGGAATCAATTAGACAATCCCAACTTGTAATGAAGGGCAATTGGTATATTAAAACAATAAGACAGAATCAACTCGTGGAAGGGGCAATTGATAAGAGACACGTACAATCTCCTGGAATCCTCGACAGAAGTCTTGCACAAACGTTCACAAAGGAAAAATAGTAAAAACTCTTAATTGATAACTTGAATATTGGGTACAAAATTCGTGGTCTTACACCCTCTATTTATAGAGGTCACATAAACATAAATCTAACCTAAAAGAAATAGGAAAACAAATCCCAAACTAAATAGTAAACATAATACTAATTAAAGAAGGACTAAAACTACTAATTAAACTCCTGCATAACCATAATAAAAAATTAAACAAATATTTTCAAATAATAGCACCGCTGCCCGGTACGTATCCTTCCTGTTCTTCTTTTCCTTGGAGGAATAGGAATTCCGCTGGCGCTTGTAATTGCTTCCCACGCATGCTTCCTTTGAATGAAGACAATTAACCAAAGCAAACAAATTGCTTTCAACGTGGTGTTGGCAATGAATATTCATGGACTAATTAATCATCCACCCACTTAATCCATGAACCATAATTCTCATGCCATCCCAAGTGTGTAACGCGTTGTCTCGATTTGGCAGCCATGTGAGCAATTTCTTATCCATCAAGAATGCTCCTAATTGATCATTATATCTCATTATTTGAACCTTCATCTTTGGACCACGGGAATTAAATATTGTGCTAGTCGATATCGCATCAGTACTCGCCCTGCCCTGCCATGTCAGCAAAAAACCATTGGTACAATCATTGTTAAAGTAATTGACGAAATAGCTATATCTGTGTATATTTTAAAATTTGTCTATTATTGTAATAACGTGCAAAGTTATGGCAATGCAAGTATATTAAGCCTATATATTAAGGGGTCGTTTGTTTTGGTTTTTTGGTTATTTTGTATGAGTTATTTCTAGCAAAAACCTAAAAAATACAATTATGCCCTCAACATATCCCATTTCCCAGCAACCTTCATTTCACTCATTAACCTTCTTCGATTATGTTACAAAGGCTACCTCTGAACTTCCATT